GAAGGCATATTTAAACCTAAATATATTTCATCACTAGTAAAAAAATGCTACTTAATTATACTGTATTCCTGAACATAAGAAAAATCTCACACTGTCCTAACCATAAATGCTGGAAAAAATAGGAATTTTGGAGCAAAAGTACTATCTGATTTTTTTTTAATGGATAATTCCAGACATTGTGTAGACTGGGTTACTAGAATCGTTTCAACACATTAAAAATTTCATTAGGAATATATGTGTATGTAGATCTATCACTCTGCATGATATACTTCTCACTGCATTTCCAAAGGAAGGTAAATCTTCTTTCTGCACATTTAAAAAAATATTAAAAAAAAAAAAATCAACACACATACCAAGCAATATGAGAAAATAATTTTAAGTTTTTCTGATATATTATTTGAACTGCTAACTACAGATGAAAAAAAATCTCATTATGCAATCTGTTCAAGAAAACATTTTTAATCACAAATCCTATTTGTATATGTTATTTGATATTAATGTGTACTATAAATAAGATATGTTCAATCTGTATGTTAATTATTGCATTTGTAGCTTAAAGCATTGTTGATAATATATAAAAGAACACTGCTATATAGATATGAAGATTAAAAAACCTTAAAAATAATTTAATGTTTAGAATGTATAGTACTAATGAGCTAAACAGATGGGATTGTGTTTTTAACTTCACTGAAAAGTACTAAAATAAAGTGACTGACGGAATCTGTGTAACTGAAGATAAATTTTGTGAAAAACTCTCTAATAAGAGTGCCCACTCCAGAAGTAATAGCTGGAACCAATGGTTTGTGCCTTGCTGACAGTCCATGTCCTGTCAACAGTTAAATTTTTGCTCTTTAGGGACATCAAGCAATTTGTATGTGAGGAGTCGCTATTTGTTCAAGGGTCTTTATCTGTATTTCAGTGTACCCATGCGGAGATTCAGTAGCTTCGGTGGGACTTCATTTGAGCATAAGCGTCCACCTACACAGGTCAGGCTGCATGCTAAGGGCCTTAGTCTATTCTCCAATCACTATGTGGCGATTTGAGAAGGCAGCTTTCATTAAAAAGCCTAGTCAAATGAAAAACGTAACAATTTAGATGATTTCAACTGAAATAATTTAATTTGCTGATTTAATTTTAGCCCTTCACTCAGTTTGAACAATACAAATAGACAAATCAGTTTCACTTTCAGGTTCTCGTGAACAATGCTAACCAGCAAACATTGCAGGATAATGTTTAAACCCAAAGAGAAAACTTGTAATTTATTTATGTCTTTTTAATTTCACAAAAAACATTTCTCTTAATATTAAGGGGGAAGGTTTCATTTTTTAAAACCAAAACTAAATTAAGCCTAATCTATCTGACAGTATTTCTAACAAACTGGAATTAGGAGCCCATTCCTGCAAGCTACTCCAAGCATGCAAAGCCTAAATGCTTTTCTACAAAGGGACACTCAAACTGCTCGACACACTGCAGCAGTGCGCATTACAAGGGTGCAAACTGTAGAATGCTTTAATATATTACATTCTAACTGCCTCGTACACCTTGCTGACACGCTCTAAAAGGTACCTAGCATGCACTGACAGTCTCATTTGAAACAGCACTACATTAACACACACTAGGAACTTTTTACAATGTGTCAGCAGGGTCTACACAGGACAGTTGGCATGCAACACATTAGAGCACTCTACAATTTACACCCTTTTGGTGAGCACTGCCACACCATATAGACAAACCCCCAGGAAAGTTAAGGTGAATCAACTACAGGTGTGATGTTCATGTACATAAGTCCTGGTCTACACCTAAAACTTAGGTTGACCTAGCTACATAACTAAGGGCTGTGAAAAATATCACACCCTGTATGACCTAGTTAGGTCATACAGACTCCTGACTGTAAATACAGCTAGGTCAATGGAAGAATTCTTCCATGAATGTAGCTAAAGCCTCAGAATGGGGGGCATTTACTATAGAGATGGAAAAACCACTTCCCTCACTATCGTAAGTGTCTACATTACAGCAGCATAGCTGCAGCACTGCAGTTGTGCTACTGTAGCACTTGAAGTGTAGACATACCTCTAAGTTAAAGCATTTTAACCCGATTCACCCTAACTTTTCTGAGTGCCCTAAGTATATAAATGTTTCCACTGGAGATATTTACAATGGAACAATAGCACACTTAATATTCTTCTTCACAGGGGACTAAAACGACAAAGATCCTTGCCACCACAGACATACTTAATCTCCAGTAGAAGACAAAATGTCAGTCCTGTCCAGGATTTTCCCAAAACACTAAAATATGGTGACTGATCACATTTTCATCCCCCAAACTCTCCTTTTAGGGTTCTGAAACTTAGTCTAAACTGACTGAACTCACAACTGAAAACTTTAGTTCCACCATTTCCAAATTTACATCACCAAATTTGCGGTGCACAGTCCTGTCCATGAGCTGTCAGGAATATAAGCTCAGTTCTTTTATATTTGAGTTCATAATATTTCACTGGGATAAAGCATGTCCATAATGGTGTCTTAAAACACCACTAATGTTGTTGTCACAGAAGTTCACAAATTAGAAGCAACAGTTTTCAACTTCAATAGATTTAGAATGCCATTTTCCCCCAGAATAAAGTGCTAATATTTAGATACTTATAAATTGACAACATCATTATCTGTTATATTAGAGACTTTCCATTAAAATTAATTTATTTATAAATGTTTGCAGGATCTGGACTTAAATATAGAATAGGGTAAAAATTAAATACAAGACAATAAAGCAATCAAGAACTATGCCAGAAATATATATTACCTATACACTAGTTATCCCAGGCTTTTGCCTGAGGGGGTGAGGGCAGAAAATGTAAATGTTACACTGTATAGCCAAATACAGGAGGCTAGTCTCTTTATTTTGTTTTTAAATTATATTGGCAAAATAACTTTTTTTTTTTTAGAATTTCTACCTATGCTAAGACACAACTATGAAGAAAACACTTTTAGAAAATCAGTTAAAAATACAATTATTATAATTAAACAGTCCCTGTTTCTTGTTTGTTTTAATACATAAATATTCTGCAATCCTTTGTGATAAAAACCCATGATAGGGATTTTTATGATAGGGAGGACTGACTTAGTAAAGCTGATTTTGCAGAGTTTTCCTCTAACCATTCCTGGGAGATCAGCATTTGTCCCTGCTGTGAAACCAACAGGATTCCAAACCAGAGCAGTCAAATTCCACTAGATACACAGAAAGACTATGTCTGATAGGCTGTGCCCCCCCCCCCGCCGCACTGTCCAGGCTTCCCTCAATGACAGCTGTCCCTGGAAGCATGCACGAGTACCACAGGATAGAGAATATAGAAAAGTTAATGCAGCCTGTAGGGGCACAAACTTTTTTTTTTTGTAAATTCAAGCATTTTAAGGCTAGAAGGGACCATTATATCTTCTAGTCTGACCTCTTGTATAACATGACTCCCTTCAGGAAGTGGGATAGGATGATACCATTCCTCAACCTCTTTAACCTCCTCAGGCAAGGATCTCCAAACCTACAGAGGGAAAGTGTAGGGACAGTGTTCCCCACAAGCAAAGGAGTAGATCTGAACATGGATGATCCACTGTGTTCAGAGAGCTTAAGTTCCAGGTACATACTCCTGGTGACTGAAAAGTAATGTTAAAGTTTGTACTTTGGCTCGTCCTTAATCTAGCATATTAAAAACAAAACAATAAAGATTCCCTTAATTTTAATAAAGTTTTCATTTTATGCAGTTTGCCTTTCCAATAATCTTTTTTTCAATGTGTTCAGGTGAAACCACCATCTCTCTGTCTCATCTTAAACTTCTAGCTTTTCAGAATCACATACATCTATTTTATGATCCATGGCCATATTCCAGGTGGGGTTGAGAAACAAAGTTAAAAGTTTGCTCACTGGATTCTATGTACAATAATACTTTACATCATTATACAGCACCTGTCAACCACAGAATTCAAAAAGGTTTATGAAAATGGGAAAGGTTAGCTAAACATGCATTATATTAGCTAAAGATGCATTATATTTGCAACATTGATGTCTAGCCCATGTCTATGCACCATTAAAGAAAAAGACTCACTATTGTGCTAATGCAGACTAAGGTTTGACAAGGGTATGGGGGGGGCGAGTTTAAATCTCAATTAAATACCCGTCACAACTCCCCCACCCCTTTTTTCTCTCTCTTGTCTGAGGACTTCGAAGCAGGCACTTGTTAGCAGCTCCTGACACTAGAGAGACCACTCGCAAAGCTGCCTATAGGGAAGGGGGGGGGGCATTTCTGAGGATTAAATCCCCAAATCAGCAGCTCCCCTTCCCGAGAACAATAGAAAGTGGGGGGTGGGGGTGTCTCCAGGTCTGTCTGTCTCCCTATCCCCGAATCTCACGCCTCCGTCTTTGTCTGTCAGTCCCCCAAGTGCGAGCCCCGCTCGCGGCGGAGCAGCAGCTCTCACTCCGCCTCCTGCCCCGAACTCAGACTCCGGCAGGGAAAGCCCCGAGCGCAGCCCGCATCAAGGGGGGGAGCGGAAGGAAGCTCCCCTCACATTCACCCTCCACAGCAACAAAGGGGGGTAGAAGCTTCCTCGCCCCCCCCCCCGCCGCTTCCTCCTCCTCCCCCCGCCTCCTCAGGCTCCGGCCTCGCCAGCCCCGCGGGGGCTCCGGCCTCCTCCGCCCCGCTCGCGGTTCCGCAGAGCCTCCGGGCCGCTTGGCCCGCAGCGCCGCGCACAGGGAGCGGCGAGGCCCAGCTTCTCTCCCTCCCTCCTCCCTGTGCGCGAGCGGCCGGGCCGACCCAGCTCCCCCGCGCTCCGGGGCTTACCGGCCGCGGCGCTGCGAGGGGAAGGCGGGCGCGGCGCTCAGAGTCCCCGGGCCGCGGCCCCGGGCATGATGGGTCCTGAGGGAAAGTTCGGCGGCGGCGAAGGGTCCTTCCTGCTCGGCGGCTCGAGGAGCGCAGCAGCGTCGGCCTCCTCCTGGCGGTGACAGCGACAGGCCGGCCAGAGCGCCGCCGCGCCGCGGTGCAGGCTGGGAAACCGCCGGGAGGACCCGCGGCCGCCCAGGCGCCGGAGCCCTGGGAACCGCCCGGGGTACCCGCCGACGGAGCCTCGGCGGCCTGCTGGGGCGAGTGGCGGCAGCGCGCGGGAACCTCGGCACTCGGCGGGGCCGGAGTCCGGGCAGCCGGCGGAATGGAGGGAGCTGGGGCCTGAGGAACCGGCCGCCTGGGGCAGTCCCGCGGGTAGGGGCGTGGGGGCTGAGGAGCCGGTCACGCTGGGGGCTGAGGGCGGAAGGTACCTGGAGAACCGGTCACTCTAGGGGCTGGGGGGTTGGAGAACTGGTCACATTGCGGGGTAGGGAGCGGAGCGGGGGGTGGGGAGCTGGTCATACTAGGGGCTGGGGGGTGTCTGGAGAACTGGTCACATTGCGGGGTAGGGAGCGGAGCGGGGGGTGGGGGAGCTGGTCATACTAGGGGCTGGGGGGTGTCTGGAGAACTGGTCACATTGCGGGATAGGGAGCAGAGCGGGGGGTGTGGGGAGCTGGTCATACTAGGGGCTGGGGGGGTGTCTGGAGAACTGGTCAGATTGCAGGATAGGGAGCGGAGTGGGGGGTGTGGGGAGCTGGTCATACTAGGGGCTGGTCATACTAGGGGCTGGAGAACTGGTCAGATTGCGGGATAGGGAGCAGAGCGGGGGGTGTGGGGAGCTGGTCATACTAGGGGCTGGGGGGGGTGTCTGGAGAACTGGTCACATTGCGGGATAGGGAGCAGAGTGGGGGGGTGGGGAGCTGGTCATACTAGGGGTTGGGGGGGCTGGAGAACTGGTCAGATTGTGGGATAGGGAGCAGAGCGGGGGGTGTGGGGAGCTGGTCATACTAGGGGCTGGGGGGGTGTCTGGAGAACTGGTCACATTGCAGGATAGGGAGCAGAGTGGGGGGGTGGGGAGCTGGTCATAGTAGGGGCTGGAGAACTGGTCACATTGCGGGATAGGGAGCAGAGCGGGGGGTGTGGGGAGCTGGTCATACTAGGGGCTGGGGGCGTGTCTGGAGAACTGGTCACATTGCGGGATAGGGAGCGGGGGGGGGGGAACTGGTCATGCTAGGGGCTGGGGGCGTGTCTGGAGAACTGGTCACACTGCGGGATAGGGAGCAGAGTGAGAGGTGTAGGGAGCTGGTCCTACTAGGGGCTGGGGGGATGGCTGGAGAACTGGTCACATTGCGGGATAGGGAGCAGAGCGGAGGGGTGGGGAGTTGGTCATACTAGAGTCTGGGGGGGTGTCTGGAGAACTGGTCACACTGCGGGATAGGGAGCAGAGGGGTGTGTGGGGAGCTGGTCATACAGGGGCTGGGGGGGGTGTCTGGAGAACTGGTCACAGTGGGGCATAGGGTGGGTGTGGGGTTTTTGGAATTGGGCCTTGTATGGAGGGGCAAGAGGGGCCCTGCAAGACTGCATAGGGTCAGGGATTGAGGCAGGGCACCCCAGGCTCCAGGGAGATGAAGGGGATTTTGCAGTACTAGATGCCCCAAGGTGTGGAAATATGTGGTGAGGGGCCACAGCATCATGTGCTCTATGGTGTGGCATATCCCAAAGCACTGAGAGCTAGGATGTGCAAGGAGCTTTCAGGAATGGTGTGGCCTAGCCCTTTGGAAACTTGCAGGAGCTACTCCCAGGTCAGTAGTGCCTATTGCCATGTGTACAGGGAAATTTACAGCAGTGGCAGTGTTAAATGTGTTGGGAAACCTACAGTGTAGTGAGTGTGTTGGGAAACCTGGAGAAGTAGCAGTAAACGGGTGCACAAGCACTAAGTGAAGAAAAGCAATAGGAGTAACAATGAGATAAGGAACTGCAGGAAGAGCATCAGTATGCGTCCTGGGTGCAAGGGAGCTGTGTGGGTAGCAGTATTCAGGGCTCCAAGTAGAGGAAATATACATGCGAAGTACTGACTGCAGGAACAGCAACGGCAAGAGGTACTGAAAATCTGCAGGAGTGGCAGCACTGAGTATCCCTTGTCAGATATCTGCTGGAGCAGATAAGAGGGTGTTGGATGTGGAGGAAGTTGCAGGAACAGAAGAACTGAATGGTGTAGACCAGCAAAAGCAGCAGCACCCCACCCAGCATTAGGGGTGCACAAAACCTGTTGGAATAGGCACAGCTCTGAGCACCACGTCTCCAGGAAGGCTGCAGTGGTAGGAAGGTAGCAAAGAGTATCCTGCATACAGGAAATCTGAGGAGGCAGACGTTCCCGCAGTCTAGGTGTATGATGCCTTCAAGGACAGAAAAACCTGTACCAAGTAGATGAGGCACATTACAAGTCTGGTAGGAATGAATGTTTGAATTCAGGAAATCTGTAGGAGTATTAGCAATGAGATCCTTGGTGTTGGACATGCTGGGGGCAGCGGAGCTCTTGGTTTAGGAATCCTGCAGGTACAAAAAATACAGACCCTCTAGAAGCCTGCATTAGCAACAACCCAGGGGCCAGGTGTCAAAAATGTGTAACGGCAGAAGCACCAAGCAGCCTCTGTGCTACAAAATTGCAAGAGCAGCTGTCTAGAATCCTGGAGAAGTTCAAGGCATGGGGAACAAAATAAAGCCAGGTGCAGGTAAAGCTGCAGGAAGAGCAGCACCAAAATGCAGATTTGTAGAAGTAGCAGCAGCAGCAAGTACGCCAGCTACCTGCACTGTTAGATGGTGTCAAGTCTAACTATTAAAATTAATTTAAAATACAATAGAGAAAAGAGAGAAATAGAGAAGAGATCACACAGTAGGACAAACCTGAAGTCATATGAACCCACCACATCCATACTTTCTACTACACACAGTCATTAAAAGTACACTTATTTTAAGCTTTTACTTTTCTTTAAAGGTCGCTGTTGGGAAAAAGGTGTTTTCCACCTTCGCTCCTTAAGGCAAATCCTGAATAACAAAGGAGCACAGCAAGGAAAGTTAATACCAATTACAAAAGCTGTCTAGACTTTAGTAGAAACGTCATATGGCATTTCCCCAGTGGCTGCGAAAGTTGGGATATCTCACCCAACACAGGAGAATATTTTGATGGCTGTTTTTTCTGTTTTTTTCACTAGTTTGAGGATTTACTTTTTTTATTTAATGACTGGGGCTTCTATCTCTGTGCCATCCAAGGGAATGGGTTTGGGGGGGCAATGATTAAGAAAATCGGAGTATGGAGGACATGGGTAATCATAAAAAGAAAAGGGGTACTTGTGGCACCTTAGAGACTAACCAATTTATTTGAGCATAAGCTTTCATGAGCTACAGCTCACTTCGTCGGATGCATACTGTGGAAAGTGTAGAAGACCTTATTATATACACACAAAGCATGAAAAAATACCTCCTCCCACCCCACTCTCCTGCTGGTAATCGCTTATCTAAAGTTATTTAAAGTGTATTTAGATTGTAAACTCCTTAGTGCCCAAGTCTTTATGAACACCATGGGAGCTCAGCTGTGGCACGGGCACTTTAAGTGCTACTGTAACGAATAGTTACTAACATTAAAATAAATGCAGCAGGGGACTGAAGCCGGGATCCCCAGCCCCCTACCCCTAGCTGAGGCTAGGAGCCCCCCGCCGCCTGTACATAGCCCCTAACTACCCACTCCCTGCACCCTGAGCTACTCCCCTGCCTGCAGACAGCCCTTAGCTATCCCGTCCCTTTACCTTGAGTGGTTTTCAAACTTTTTGAACTGAGTCCCCCCCAAGTTATATTTTTTGGTGCGTCCACCACAGCCCAGACAGGTGGGATGGCCTGAGTGAGTTAGGGCATGAAGGTGGTGCTCCCTTTCTGGACCCCTGGCTTGAACCATGCCAGCTCTTTCCCCCCCCCAATAGAAATAAAACTATGCCTATGCCCAAGGGTCCCTCCCCCTGGCCCGGAGCCCTGAGTACCTGCCTCCAGAGGAGGGCCTTGGAAAGAAAAAGGTTGAGAACCCCATGCCTAGGTTATGCAGGAAGTCAGACTAGGCAATCATAATGGTCTCTTCAGGCTTTAAAAATCTATGGAATAATTTCTTCAGTATATTTTTAATAATTTTGTGACTACCGCTGTACAGTACTTTGGGTTGCACTGTGGGCCATATCTTCAAAAATGTGCAAGTTGGAGGAATTTTAGCATGTACATACCCCAAATATGGATATTTGTACACCTGAGCAGTGTGTGGATTTGTCTGTCTGCCCCCCTCTGGCAGTCAAACATCTAGAGACCACGAGCAGGTGATGTTCCTGTTCTGCTCCAAATAAATGTCCCTGTCTAGCAAAACACTTAAGCACACGCGTAAAGGGAAGAATGCACTAAAGTGTTTTTGTGGATGGGGCTAACATCTGCACATGCTGTGCAAGGTCATACTTACCCATAAAGCCAAATCCTGTGAAGTGGATAATTCAAACAACTGCAGAAGGTGTTTTCTTCCAAAGCTAGGGTGTCCTACAGGATCTCACTGTCTGCCGCAAGGCTTATGCCTTTCTTCCGTATTCTGGTAGTTTAACAAGCTGCATCTGCACAATGAAGTCAGCAGGTGTTATCAGCTTTGTGCAGTTTTTAACTCCTGTTAATAGGGTGCCTCAATAGATGACCTCTTCTCTTTGGAAGGGCATAGATCTTGCTGTCTGGTTATATTGTGATGCATTGCTAAGGACAAAATATCACTGAAGTTAAGCTATAGTTTGAGGATTTGTATTATGCTGGCTCTTTGCACACAGGTTTATTCAAACCTTTTGGAAATTGTATTGTGTAATAGATCTGTAAGAACAAAGGAAGGAGTTAATAAAGTATGACTACTTTGCAAGCAGTCATTTTGCATTTTGTTCAAATACAACAAGAAACAGTTGTGGTTGACTTACTTGCTGAACAAAATGAAAGACCAGATATTCTAAAAATAGGGTTATAGAAACCAAGAAAAATTGTACACCTATGAAATTGATTTTTTTCCTTCAAAGGCAATTAATTTCATAACTATTCATTTTTACTTATCAAAAATTTTGAATCTCATTAAAGGAGGGAGTAAAGAACCTCACTTAACTTGACTTTAAAATACATTTCAGGATTACAGGCCTCTAGCAGAGTCTGCATAACACTTTTTCCTAGGATGCATCAATGGGAACCTGCTTTTCAAAAGTGTGTTTGGCAATTAATAGTGTAATTTGAGGAAGGATTATCTTGTAGTTAAAGCACTGGATTGAGAGTCAGCAGGTTCTGATCTTGGCTCTTGCCTAACATTTCCTCTATGACCTTGA